TTTTTTTTTGTATGACGTAAAAGCAAGGAGATGTGGAATAAGCAAGCAATGGCTTTCATGAGCTGGTGTAGAATTAAAGGAGAACAGGGAGTTCTGGATTTTCTGAAATCTAAGCAGGGGTATCCAATGCCCTTTCATTGTTGAGAAAGCGGTATTCCATTTTTCGGTAGCCATTTTTGAAGCATTAGCAAATTCCAAGAACTCGCAAACTCTTCAATCCACTAGCTCTACATACCTTGCTCAGATGCCTCTCTTTTGATTATTGTTTTGTAACCAGATGGAAAGGAAATATCTGAATTTTTGTGCGCTACACCTCAAACCAACTCTCCATTGATTTCAAGATTTATAATATGGACGCAAATCTGATAGCCTCAAAATCTTAACCCCAAATTTGGACGAAGTCTGAGAAATTGGTTGGAGTTTAGCATTGAATAGAGTATAATTGTTCTAAGAGCTTAAGGTTTGAGTACTATCCATGATAACTAAGGAACAAGATTTGGCAAACCTAACAAGTTGAGGGCTGATAGAAGAGACGAAAAAACGTGGTATGAGATTTGCTTCTTGTATCTGCCGACTGTTTTCTAGCCACTTAGCTTAACATTGTAAAGTGTACCAAGTAAAATAAAAACTGTAGGCTGAAAAAGTGAAAATTTTGTACCTACTGAAACATTTACAAAATTGCATAGATCAGTGTTCTAGTCTAATGGTTTTGTTCTTTCAAACTGGAAACCAAGGGTACCTAATATGTCTGCAATTTCACACTTATTTGCATTCGAGCTAGAGTGAAATGGCGTCTAAGAATAGCTGAGATCAAAACGTATAAGTTCACTGGAATGGAACATGTTTGCTATGTCCAAATGAGGCTATGCGAATTTTATGGGGTTCCTTTGAGGTCTACTAATTCATATAGATGCAATGTTTATGAATGTTGTATGTTCGTAGTCACGCTGTTATATTTGACAAAGTGTAAACTCTGCACTCACATGTATTATCTTACATGATATGATACACTTGACTCTAAAAAAATATGTAGAAACTCTGATAAACATAACAAAAATGCAATCGAGCTAGCTATGAGGAAGGATATTCAGAAAAACTCTACGAAAGCAAAGGACACATTGCTATGTCTCATTCTTTCTCCAATTCAAAATCTATGAAAATTTTTCTACTCTGCAAATTCGCTCTTTCTGAGTTTACTGTGACGATAATGAAATACAGAGTGTCCCAAAAAATGTATAGAACGTTTGATGTGCAAAAATTTTCTTATATGGAAAGCTCTCGAGAGGCTTTAGGTACCTTTTTGTA